CAGTAGTCTGGAGTAGAAAAATCATGGCCTAGGGTAGAGACTCATTGCTCACTCAAAGTCGCAAAGTGTGCATGAAATTGTGACATAAACCTGGTGAAAAAAATATTTGGTTTTATTTTGTTTCACATATTTCATTACTAAAGTCACTACTCCGCTGGGGCACTCAAGCTTTCCAAAGCATCTTTGTAAAATTTCAGGTACAACAAGCATCACAGAATGTATCACATGAGACCACAAAATGAAAACTATTTTAGCCCAGCCAGAAACTTTGATCTACAAAGTGAAAGCAAGAGGCAACATCTGAACAAGAGCCGGCTAAGCAATGTAAATATACATGAGTTTATTGTCTATCACATAATTAACCGACTAGATTTATTGAGAAGTAGCTCGGGGACATTCAAGATCTTAAGTACATGTAACAAATTTCAGGTACATCTAGTATCACAATAATATATCATGATAGCCCCTGCAATGAAGACACTTTCTGCACAGCCAAAAAATTTCATCTAGCTTTTGACCAAGCTGGGTATGCACAACACCTTAAAAGAAATAGCCAAAGCACAATGCATTTCGTAGCTTGAATGCGTGTCAACCACTACCATAAGAAAACAAATTATGAACAAACTTGGCACAATTTACCACCAGCATGGCCAGAAAATTTATATCTCAACAAAAATTGGAAACACCGTTGCAGTGGCTAATATTCATGGACACGTGCACCTCGACTACAACAGAGGCCGACGAAAGGCCAAAGCGGAGGCTTTGATTTGTTTTTTGCATGCTTGTTGACGTGACGGAGTATTGTAATAGTGACAAGGGTCACAATTACACTGCCGTAAGAATAGACAGGTTTCAAAGCTGAAATTACAGGCAGCATACGCATGGAACATTCGGAAATAGCAGATGAAGTAGCCATATTGTTGCAGGAAAAAAACATGCACACGAGTGCAGAGTTGGTGTTTTGACAGTATTTGTAGTGATTGCGCAGGGTGTGATCAGTCAGGTCAATTTCCTCCAATCTAAGTGAGCTTTCTCGTTCTTTTTAGTGCAACATCATCCTCCCGGCAAGTGTAGCTCCATCCGGGTACAAATCATGGAGCATTAGTTAAGGCGAAGTATATATGGTTTGAGCCTGGCGACATGAACGTCACTATCGACGTGACGTAGCAAAAACACGTCAGCTGGTGCTATTTCGTATACCATGTCACAAAATTGGCGTAAGGTCTTGTACGGACCAGAATGACAAGAGAGCAGTTTTTCCGCCGAGCTAACACGGCACGAGGGCGTCCAGAGCAGTACAAGAGAACCAAGAGGCAATTGTGTCTTTGTGCTGATGATCGTAGCGTCGCTTTTGAGAAGGTTGCGACGTCTTGACGAGCGACCTCTCGGGCATGGACGGCCGAAGTGATTGCATCGTGGGCGTAATTGGTCGTTGAGAATATAACACCAGATGGTAGGAATGTGTCGAACGGCAAGACAGAGCCGCAGCCATACAAAAAAGAATGGGGAAAATCGAGCGGTTTCGTGACAGGACGAATTGTAAGCAAAATGATTGTACAGTAAAGCGGTGGACAAAGTGATGGGGATTGTCGGAAACGTACATGGCCAGCATGTCAGTTAGGAGTGTGGTTTAGTCGCTCAGTGAGCCCCTTCCTTTGATGGTGGTATGCGGTAGCAATCTTGTGTTCAGAAGCTCAAAAGCGGAAAGGGCCATCGTCGACCTTTGACAATAAGTAACGGCCACGATCCGTTAGTAACTGTGGAAGGGTGCTGTGGTGTAGAGTAACATCGGGGAGTAGAAAGTCCACAACATCTGCTGCACAGCTGGTCGGCATTGCTTGTGCAATGGCGTATCTTGCTGCATAATCTGTCACAATGGCAATCCACCTGTAGCGAGAGAGGAAGACGGCACTGCGGCCAACGTGGTCGTGTCAAACTCGCTGCTTTATTCGATTGCCGAAGTGGAGCGGCGGCGGCTGCCACGCCAAAACCGCCAGGCGCGTGAGCTTGTTCTAATCCTCACGCAGCTCGAGCTAGCATCAGCTGCGCGAGAGGCGCGACGCGGTGATCGAGAAATGACAATGATAATCATGCGTATAGGCCCCCCCCCCAGCGCTTTGCGTGATTAGAAGTGTATATAACAAAGAAAGAGACTATACACGTGAACGACAATCCGCAAGGTGTCCGTTTGGGAAGTCCAGTTTGTACTGACCATCGAGAAGCAGTGGGTCTCTGGTGGGCGACACTGGGAGTTGCGCAGTGGACGAAGAAGTAAGCGTTCGGTCGCTGTGTTTGCAACACAAGTGGGTGACAAGATGACCAGCTGGGGCCAGCTGGGAGCGCACAGGGTGTCGCAAGTGAGCATTGCAGGTAGAGGTGCGTTCAGGGTGAGATGAGGGCGGGTGTACAAAAGTCGATTTGGCCCCTGCGCGCGAAGCAAGAACTCAGTAGGAGGCATGTCATGTGATCCAGCAGATGTGAATTCTGGAGAAGGCTCTGTGGGCGTACCTTGACTTGGGGAAGCACCTTCAGTAGTCGGTGCACGTGGGTTCGTGCGCAGGTCACTATGGAGACGGGTGCCTGTATGGCAGGCGCGAGATGTGCGGTCTGCTGTGACATAGGGGGACCAGGCACATCGTCCTCAGGAGCATCGGTCATACTCGCAGCGTCTCTGAAGTTTGGCCATGGTCGATGGCTGGTGGCTTTAACTTTGGCTGCGGGAGACTGTAAGGGCGATGCTGGTCGCTGCTGGCAGGACGCCCAGAGCATTGAGGCTGGTAGAGAGTCCCCTTCGGACATTGGGGGTGGTGAAGGTTCAGTGACCGGGAGGTGAATAGCGGGTGGAAGGATGTCTGCGCCAGACTCCGAGGCGTGCGGCCAGGTAGCCGTCGTAGAGTCGGATAGGGCCACGGTGTCGTGTGCCGTCGATGTCACGGAAGATGTGCATGTGGCAGGCACGTGCGACGAAGCTGCGCATTGGGGCTCTGAGGGAATGTACCTCTCGGAGGGGAGGTAAGTCGCAGTGGGGGCGTCTTCTACCTTGTGGTCATGGTCAGATGTAGGAGTGGATGTAGGAGTGGATGGGGACAAAGAGTGGTGCATGAGCGGCGAACGTGTCCGATGACCTGGCGAAGACGGGGAGTGGTAAGATTTTGGCAAGAAATTTATCTGGTTGACGATAGTGATTTGGTTCGGCGTGTAGGACGAGAAGGTATGATCATTGAGCAGCAGGTGGTTGTGACTGGCATAACCGTTGATGCTTGGTTTGCCATTGTCGCTGACTAAGACATTCGCTGTCGGTTTTCCAGGGTGGCGGCAAGCAGATGACGTTTACTGCAAAGCTCCATCGTGGAACCCAGCACATTCACCAAATCTTGCGGGAAGAGTGCAGAGGCACACGAGTGCATAGTTGGTATATTGGCAATAATTTCAGCAGTTGTCCAGGGGGTGACGAGTCGCGTCATCTGCTTCCAATCTGAGCGAGCTTCTTCGTTCTCTATATTGCAACAATATTCCACTGGCCCTAATAAATCAGGTATGCAAAGTTGTCTAATGCAAATCCGAAACAGTAATAAAAAAGCTACGCTAAAAGCACGATTCCCAAGGAAGCCTTGGACATTCTGGCAAAAGCGGGCAGATCCCCAAACGTGAGCTCGACGATCTTGTAGTTCCCCACTCATATCACCAACGGAACGTGATATCCTCCCAAATAAAGCTAGACTACACACTTGATGGCCAGATACATGCTGCGCTGAACACGGACATGCCTCTCGTACAATAAGGAACATACCTCATGTATAAGGATAGGATCAGTAGCTATAATGAGAAAAACAAAAGCATATGTTAACACAAGAAGAATATTCCCACCACTTAGTCCAAAACAAAACAGCAGACAGGCCATTTTCTGGGGCTAGCTCTAGATGAACAACTTCCCTAATCCAGTCCGTCTAAGATAGATATATTCGAACAACCATCAGGACGACACGTAAAATTCGTACCAGAAAGGACGTGTAACACTCTAACACATGTTATAGGGTTGTAGTTATGTTGCCAGAATGCTTGCAGTTACTCTGGAGACCCTTTCATTGAGGTTGGCTACTGCTCTGCACATCTCAAACTTTGCCGTCTAAATGTGAGCAGTCCAGCAAGCTCATGAGGCGGCTTTGAGGCAAAGCTTTGACGTTTCCCCGTGCGAGACCAAGCCGATATTGCATTAAACCTTGATAGACATTCGAATAAAGTTGTATCCATAATGAAAAAATTGGAAGCGCAAACAAACGGGACACAAGAGAAGAGACAAACAAGCCCGTTGTCCCGTTGGTTTGCGCTTCCAATTTTTTCATTATGAATTGAACCAACGGGACACAAGAGAAGAGACAAACAAGCCCGTTGTCCCGTTGGTTTGCGCTTCCAATTTTTTCATTATGAATTTGTACCAACTAGCCCGCCTGTCAACCCTTCTGAAAGTTGTATCCTTTGAACCATAAAGTGAGAGAAAGAGGCAACATCTGAATCTCGAGCTTGTGTCCCATAGCTAAAATGTCTCAGCCTGAAATAAAATTAGGGAAACAACAAATTCAACAATGAAGAGGAGGCTGTAACTCAATGAAAGCATATATGCACCTGCAGGCATCATATGAGGTCGGTTAGAAAAGTATCCAAACTTTGGTGGAACAGCAAAAACGGGCATTATTGGAGCATTGTAAACCTAAACACCCTCAAAGTAGTCCCCTTGGGACTCTAGAGACTGCTCTTGGAGGTGCTGCCATTGCTGGAAGCATTCTAGCACTGCTCCAGTCGCTCCCTCATTTTCCTTGCAATGAAAAACCAATGAGAGCACTGTGCATACCTCACTCAAACACTGCATCCCAGCGACTGACGAAATTGCCAGGCGGGAAAAAATTCACACGTGCACACGAAGGTTCAAAATCGGCTAATGCAAGCGCGCTTGTTCGAAATTCATGAAGTGCTTGCAAAAAAAAAGGGGTCAGATACTTTTCTAACAGACCTCGTACATTTTCCACTGGCCTTATGTGAGACAGAGGGGCAATGTATTGGCAACAGCAAGTGGCAAACGGGAGGCGCTATCTGCAGAGCTTGTTGAACAGCTAACAGCAAAGCATCATCAAGAGCAGCTGTTGCAGTTTTGTACAACCATAAAATTGTTCATAAAATATGCATAAACCTCCATGTAACAAAGTACAAAACATCACCGATACAAATCATCGCATTGAAGGTTCTTCGCATAAGAGTTGGTACTTCTATGGCGAAACCCTCTGCAGTGCTATTCAAGTGATTTTATGACTTCTGTATTAGATTACCACACTGCATTTTTTTCTACTTCAACTCTTTCCAAAATTTAGAAAAATGTATTCCCCTTCAACTGTAGTGGCTGGTCTCTGTTGCACGGAAGATGACTTGACAAACGCTAAAACTACATGTTTTGACCACTGGCACTAGCAGATGTTTTAGTGTATTGCCTTCCTTTATCGATTTTTTTATAAAGCGCATGGACATTCAGGTGCTAAATAAAAATGAAACTTCACCCTTAATTTTCTCCACGAATAATTAATTTCCAACTGTGAAACATGGGGTTAGAGTTCTCAGAGTGCAGTTTGTCAACCTAAAACCAAGTCATTGTATCTCTTTAATGTTCATTCCAAGGAGCCATGACAAGCAATTTTCATAATCTGTATTATAAAAGTTGGTCCTTTGCTGTTGACAAATGAGCTGGTGAAATTTCAGCACATTTGGCTGAACGCTTAATTTATAATGAGGATTGTTATAAACACGCATGTGGCCCGGTAGCCTCACAACAGTACATGTGAACCATGACATAATAAGACACTTGCTTTGTGAGCGTATCTATTCCGCCCAACAACTGTTTCATGGTCAGTTGCGGTACAATGGAGCTACTTCAACTTTTGTATGCCTTGGAATTGAAAAATTGAAGAATTTGCACTGGCTGAAGTTCGGGAGAAGACAGATCTCCTGCATGAAACACATGACGTCCCACACCCCATGGCAACATAACGGTAGCTGGCAGTGGGCGGAGTTTATAGCTGGAGACTTCTATAGCTGACTTAGCAATTAGATATTATTTTTTAATGTCTGTTTTTCATACATTTACAGGCACAATAGACGCTCTACAATTTTTAGCTGAGAATAGCAGTACGGAGGGTGACCTTGTCATGGCCCCGAATAAGTACTTAGTTATGGCGGACTTAGTTACATGGAGGTTTAAACGGATACATCTACTTATTTGTGAATGACTTTATGATTTCAAGCTGCGCTTCTTGATAGCTCCTGTTGTGCCTGCGCTCCTCAGCTAGCGCCTCTAGCTCAAGCTCCTTTAGCTTGAATTTTGCCTCCTGCTCCGCCTGCCTCTGTTGAAGCTCCATTTCTTTCAGCTTCATTTTCTCCTCATGGCGCTTTATCTCGAACCGGAGCCGGTCCTCTTCAAGTTGGAGGCGGCGGTTCTCGATTGCAGTGTCCCGATCACAGCGGGCCTCAATGAGGGCATATGTTGCCTCAGCGTACCGCTGTGGACCTGCACAAATTTACAAAGAACAGTTAACTGTCTTAGGTTCAAATGGATGAGCAAGTGCAACAGTTTACAAAGCACCATGATATTCTACTGAGCACACATGGTTCTTTTTAACACAGTAGACTCTCAGTAAACTGAAATCTATTAAAGGGAATTGTTGCTTAAATGAAACAACTTCATTCAACACGGTTGCTTTCGTACTTAGATTCTCCACTTTTTTTTATCTCGGAGCTACTGTTAAATGGAAAACATTTTCTAGTCTCTTCACATTCCATTTAACGAGAGTCTACTGTACAGTACTATTCCAAAACACTAGACTTATTAAACACAGGCAGGTAAATACTGTAATAATAGTCAAGCTGCCTCTGTACACACAAAATTGCTTGCAACAAAATGTTGCGATTACTTAAAAAAGTATTGGGAGAAATCTTATAAGTTGTTTCTATGCATCAAATGAAAGGTCAAGCCCTCAAAACCAAGAAAGTTCACTTATACACTTGACTACACTTTAAAAAGCAAATGCAACACGTTTTTAAAAAGCTGGTTCTGTTTCATATACTGTATACTGACGTCAAGACACACTGTAGCCACATGAGTTGGCGACATGCTCACGCTAGATATGGTGATATGGTGACATTACACGGGCGTTCCATCATCTATTGCTATACACATATGGGTCAAAGACGGACCAAGTATTGTTCTGGCTGGCATCCAGTTGCTGCACACTTGTTGTAGCACCCAATAGTGAACGAATCTATGGAACTTGTATCTATTGCGGCCTGTTTTGCTACTGAAAGTTTATACAGGGCAAAATGTTGCTGTCATGACAACAAATCACAATAAAATTATTTCCTTGCCTTGTGATCAATTTAGACGATGTTGGAATGCACACACAATGACAGAAGCCATGTTTTACTTTGCTCGATTGAAAGGTATGATGAACTACTGCAATCGAACAGCGAGGAGAAGTGACAGGAAAAGCAACATGTAAGCAGCAATTTCGTATGCTTTGGTATGTGACATCGCATGTGTTCATTTGGGTGTGTGAAGTCACCAGAATTGATACTGTAGCCTGACGTCATGCATGTACCATTCAAGTCTTAGCAGCACTTCCGGACCTTTATATTCGCTCAGAGACGTGTCTGTACACAGGAGATTTGTATAAGAGAGTAAACCCAGCTTTGAAAATCGGTGTTGGTGCAATTACAACTGCCTACATGCATACCTCTGATTGGAGTGGCTCGGGGGCGCACTGGAGTTGAAGTGCGAGTCGCAGCAGTCAACGGTGAGCATGGGCTACTTTGAGCCCTGCGCTGCTGCGAATCAACTGGCAACTCTGAAAGGGCAATCAGTAACTGAGTCATGCGAATTTATGCAATACATTTCAACCCCCTCCCCCTTTTTTTAACTGGCTGATTCTGTCCGATTTCTGATACAGTAAAAGCTCGTTAAGTCAAACAACACAGGACCAAAAAATGTTTTAGTTATTTAATCTTGAATTATCAATAGTATCAAGAAAACGAAGAAATGCCTGTTATACCCCTATCACACCTGGCAATATAAGTGCACTTCGAGCGAGTACACTTAGCTGCGAGTGTCATTTGCGCGTTGTCACACGAGCAAGTTTAGTGTCACTCGCCGCAAAGTACACTTGCTGGCAAGCGCGTTCCCTAACCTCACTTCGCTTTGACCAAGTTTGTAGCCTCGGTCCCAGTGGCTTGCACAGAAATACGCTGTTGCCTAAAGCGGTCCTCATACTATTTTTGAACTATTGTTTTCATTATAAGGAATTCTGCTATATACTAAAACAAGTCATAAATCAACAACTCTCGCTACTCTCTCCCTCAGGCAGTTTGCGGCCACATCCGCTGTGGGGATGCGGCACCTCATGCTTGGTGGGCTTCGCGGATCATTCATATTACCCACGTTGGAACCAAATGTAACCGAATCAACAGGTTTGATGGCAATAAACTATACAAATACTGGCCGGGGCCAGGAAAAACTCCCGAGTCATCCAATTTTCTTAATAATTCATTGAGGTCAAATTAACGAGCTTGTTCTGTATTACTCAGAAAGCTGCATGGACTTGTGCTAAAAATCATGCACAAATTTCCAAAAATTAATCTTAAAACAAAGATGACCTACTCTATGTCTATGGCTCTTTAAAGTTAATGCAAAGGCTCTCTGGCTACACACATTATATATTTTCTGGCAGCGGAGCAAAGGTGATGACATTTTTATTAACAATTTAGTTCTGGAATATTTACTGGAATAGTTCCATAGTCTCCTAGTGCAGCAAATGCTTCATATCAATCGTAATATGCAACACTTCACTGCACTAAAAAGTAGCACCTTTTATTGCCACCTTGACTTCACTGCAAGTTCACATCATTGCAACCGACTGGAAGATGATTACGTGTGCTCAAACATTTCTCACAGTGAGAGTGGCCACATGTCCCTGAGAGTGTGGATCTATTGAAGGCCACAACAGCACCCAGACAATGGCACACCTAAGCACATGCCACGTCATAAATTTGCCTAACATAAAAGGACACATGAGACACCAGTTTGCTCATGTCTCCTTTCCTGGCCAAGACTAAAGATGCGATAAAGCCATATACTCGGAGATTTTAGGGGACAGAGAAATAAGCTTTCTCAAAGAAAGATTTACTACACAATTAAAGTGTTTTTTTTACTCTTGCCTTCAATAGCAAGCATCTTCATTTACAATTGTGTACCTGCATTTTGAATGATACTCTTGTTTTCTACTAGGCAAAATACAAGATACACTGATATGACCAAGCTTTCTTTTTTTTTGTTACACACCTTGCAGAGGCACACGAGTGTTGGCCACCCGTCTGGTTTCACCAGTGTGGGAATCAGGGGGGCTCCCATGCACAGTTGCATTGCCTGGTAGTCCAAGAGATCACAAGTAAACAAGTTCAGAAGGAGGCTGCTACTTGAGTCTAATGCACATAAAGCAGACTTATTCTCAGGGAGACAAAGAAAAGATAGAAAAGCAGCAAGGGCAACTAAAAGAAGTGGATCCATGATGAAACTATGCAACTAGTTTTTGAACATACTGAAACTACTTACACTTATTAGGTACTTATTCTCTTATTAATTTATTATTGCATAGGACAAAAATATTGTACTGAAAAACAAAACAATGTCCTTCGCTGAGCTCATATTAATTTAATTAAGGACTTGGTGCAAATGTTAGCAACAGCTAAAATCTGACCCTGTATTTCTTTCATAGCACAAAATAGAATTTTTCAGGCCATCTTGAATGATTTCCTAGACTCAATAGCTGCACCTAAAGTCGCTTTTGTTGATGTTGAAAGCACTAATGACGAAAATCATTTGAGTCTGTAGGCATGCACCAACAAAACTAGGGATTACAAACCTGCAGCAGCAACATCTGAAGGACTAGATGTTGGAGTTTGAGCTCGACTGGGTGCAGCAGTTGTGATGCGGTCAGGTGCTGGGCATGAGGCCGTCGGTTGTCTTCGAGTTCTGTACATCACAAGTGAACCAACTTAAGAGCTGTGCTGTGTGCTTTGAGCTTGAACCCAGCTTTCATTTCCAATACACATCGGCAATAACTCCTCTCATGCAGCAGCTCTTTTGATGAGAAATACAGGCTCTTCCTAGTGCCTTATTTACATGCTGGAGGCTAGGGCTCAATAGTGCCGGTGCAATTACTTGAAAAACCTTATTTTCTATGATCTCCCAGGTATAACATGGACCCAAAAAATGACAAACAACACAGGGTGATGCACAAGCTATCAACTAGCCCCTATTGCCGCCTTAGTAGCTTCAAAAACCCACTGCAAGGCTAAAAATGACAGGTAGGAGAAAAGAGAAAAATAATGAAAAGTAATTTCAGGCCATGCTGAGAGGCCCACCTGACTGGAAATGACTATTTAGGACTATTTTAAGGGGTCCATGGTGTTGCCATTTCTTCCGTGTGTTCGTGTACGTGCATTTTCCAGTCTTAAAATGAATTAACACCAACTATCCTAATTTTGCATGCTACAGCATCCACTAGTTTATGCAACAGTGTATTCAGCACGTGTGTAATGAAAAAATTTTAGTGTTTCTCACTGTATTTTCACTCACCACAGTCAGGCAGATCCATGTGAATCTCTATGTTCTCCGGCTCATACATTGAATTAAGAAGTGTCTGAGCGAGCCTGTGACGTGCTTGCACCATCTGCTGGTCAGGAAGAAAACGAATTTTTATTGAGCTCTACTTAATATAGCCACTAGAAATTTGATTTGTTATAACATAAGGGCTCTAAACCAAGGAACAAGAAACAAAAGAGAGGGAATACAAGTACTTATAGATAATGAGTAGGTTACACATAAATAAGAATAATAATAGAAAAATGGAGAACCATGCTAAAAAACATCTACAAACTCCAGCTAGACAATTATTTCAGGTACACTTATAAATAGTCTATTTCAGCCTTGTGCAAAGCTGTTGAAGGCAAAAGTGTCACCTAATTCCTTGAAAAAAAAAATTCATCACTTTCACATGTTGCTTGATCCTTAAATATAGCCAGTACCTCAGCTTAACAATCTGTCTGACATTGAATCCCACTGTTTGGTTCAGAAGAGTGAAGTTGTTCTAATCTTTGCTAGACACTAAATGGCATATCACAGCCCTCTTTGGTGAGACAGCTATTCCTCAACCTTTGGCAGAATAGTTCAAGCTCTGACCTAGTAAAATGTTAAGTAACTGGTGAAAGTATTATGTAACATAGAAAACAATTGCATATTCATAAGAATTTCATGTCTACTGCAGGATGAAGGCTTGCATGAAGATATTCCAATTCGCCCATGTTGTGCAAGCAGACTGCATGTCATATCTATAGCATTGTCAATTTTGCCACTTGATATAACTCATGTTCAAGGTTCTCTGCGTGACTCTTTTCTGAGCATGTGTGTGTTTGTGAGTAGACATATCTTTTTGCACATGTGATCCTTTTTTACATCACGGTAATCACCTGACACCAGAAGTAGCAAGCTAGGCAACCAAGCAAACATTTCCGGAATCTTATTAAACATTGCTATATCTCTGTCTCCACCTATCTGGTAAATATACCACAGTGCCACACAGGTAGCACCTAACTAAGTCATACAACAGGCCGCAAAGTGTGCTGCAAGCATGGCTGCTGCCTTCAGATTTCACACAGAAAACTTCCAGAGGTTGTGCCTGCTATGATCGTGCAGAAAGCAAACGTTTACAAATATTTGTCCAGTTTGTTACTCTCTTCTTAACTTACTCAACCGGTGAAGCACTGTAGTATCATGCAATTGATCAAATGACACCACCTGTAAATTCAACGCAGGCCAAGTGTACGGCTCACTATCAGTTAAGTGCGAGTAAGAATTGCGAAATCAGCACATTTCTTACCAGGCTCAACACCGTCCCCGCTGTGAACTCCGCGTAGGCCGCCAGGGCATCTTCTTCCCTGTTGTCGACGCGACGTTTCGCTGGCGGTCGGGCGACCGAGTTTCTTGTGGCTCTTTTTTTGATGTCGTCGCGTTCAGCGAGCTGTCGTGCGGTTGACGGCGGTGGCGTGTAGCCGCACTCGCGCGCTATGTCAGCCGCTTGCTGCAGGAGGTCCTCCAGTTCGGACTGCTCCTCTTCTGTACCGGAGCTATTGCGGAGCCAGTAATCACAATTTTTGTCAATGGGAAAGAACAGTACATAACAAAGTTCAATACGAGACGCACTTACCTCTTAATTTTCTTCTTCTGATCTCGCAGAAAACGCAGGAGGATTAAGTTAAGCCTTTCCCTGACACTGCGAATGCTGAAGCACCTGCCGAGCACCTCGGAGAGCCGATCGGCTATCTTCAGCCACCTCGCAGGGTCAAGGAAAGGGTTTACATATAATACCTACTTTACTAGAGCGATGTCATCGCTGAGAGTAAATCGCTTGCGCCCAGACATCGATTCCGCTGATGTCAGAGCGAATGTAAACAACGTGTTCGCCGTTGGCGCTTCTGCTTCGGCTTGTCTTGACTCGGTGGCTTGCTCCGGGCCGTGAACGTAAAGCCTATCCGGCGAGTAGTTTACGTTACGTAAAGGTTCACGTTCCGTAAAGACTCGCGCATGCGCAGATTCTATCCGGTATCCGGTAACACGGTAACGTAAAGAAGTATACGTACAAGCTAAAACTCCCTACTGATTACATTATGCCGCTCGCCGAAGAAGCGTGACAACTTGCGCGCACATGTGTATTCATCACAAGGAGGGCTACGACTCAAGGTGCTATAACATTTGCCATCGACTTGTCCAAAGCTGGTAAAGAATTTTGAAGTCTGCACTGCGATTCGCCGCCGTGGCGTCTCAGAAAAGCTGTTAATGCAGTGCTTCAGACCGTATGAAGTTCTACGTCTCACTGTTGTTAACTCTCGGGTTGTTCCCCATAGTGACCATTGCTCAAAGCATCACAGGCATGCACCAGAAGTCGAGTGCGAGGTTATAATGAAGCCCTATTTAAACTAATCAACTTACGCATTTCTTGTGATTACAAATCTGTATGATTATAGAGCATCGCCACAATGCTTCTTTGAAAAGGAGGCTGATGACACAGCTATAAAGATAGCTGAATGACAAAAGATACCGAGGTGAAGAGCATGAACAGCAACCTCTGTTTCTATAAAGAAGATGAGATTGGTGTGTCTACTCTATTGTAGATTACAGCTGAGAGAGGTAATGAATACATACATCAAAGTAGACTATAGCACTGACATAGTGTTCATAGTGAATGCTGCCACTGATCTTCGTGTTCTACTGTGTCCGCTCGCACGCACACTCTTACAAAATAGAATTCTTCAACATACGCTACCCCCATCCCCCAAAAACTTGTGTAGTTTGAGTCATATAAGACAATAAAAGTTCAATGGGGTAGAGATGCACAGCCCTTCGTATGAATTATCCGTTGGCCAGTAACACAGACAAGGCTCTGGCTGATGTTCCGATCCGGTCCTTTGTGTCACTTTGATTCTTCCACTGTTCCAAAGTTGTGCGGTGCTTTACTTTCATATACGAGCACTAAGTCATGGTGTTTAATACCGTCAGAATCTTGAGCATGAACACTGGCAGCTGCAGAGAACAGTGGCAGAACAGTGGCTCAGAACATACTCCATTCTTCATCATTTCAAATGTGCTCAATTAGCTGTACGCTATGAATCCATCTGCTAGTAAATATGGCCTTTGAGCTCGAAAGGTCAATTTCTTGTTTGTGCAAGAAATTCCAGTGATTGTTTTACCAGTCAAGAAATAACTATCTTCTCTGATCCAACATTGGATCAAATATTTTGAAATGTAACACTTGCGCGATGCTAGACCATCTCAAGTCTGTTACACCGCACAGTGTATTTAGCGTGTTCGTCCGTCACGTCACTTTTTCCTCTCTTACCCAGGACGCACTTTGCCACCATAGTTCGTCGCCGTTCGGGATTTCCAACAACGTGCCCTATAATTCCGGGGTTTATAAGTCCGAGTACAATGTCCTCATTGAATTTTCTCAAAGCTGCATTGAATTACTGACACTATATTTTCAGCAAACTGAGACCGTTGCGATGGTGCTCCTTGGATCGAATGCAGTGCGACAGTGAAATCGGTGTAGAGGCTCACGTCTGTATTCTGTTAAAGTGTCTTGAGAGACCTAATAAGGAACTCTGCCAACATAGTTGCAAGTACCCCACCCAGAAGTTTGAGCCTGTGTGGCGTAAATTTCTGCAGAGGTGCTACTCGTGATAAGCCATTAGGAAGGCTGTAGAAATGGACATATCTCAAAAACACGGAGCCTCCATAAGCTTTCTGACCAACGTCGCAAAATAGGTGTAGTTGCGAAATGGAACTAAAGATATCTCTTTCCACAGTGTAATTTTTTGGACTTGAATGAAATCAACAAGACAGTTCCTGTCTGACACTGAAATAAGGCAAAAACTCAGCTGAAAGAGCACTTTTAGCAGGCACATATGCAAGAACAGGAGACAACGTCGGATCGGCAGCAGTGGCAGCCTGAAGCTCAGCTTTAGTAATGCAAGAAGTAACCAAGAAAACAATTTCTTCCTCACGCTCTTCAGTAACCGGTAGCTGAAGAGGGAGATGCGATGAGGCATCTGCAATGACATTATTGGCCACCTTACAATTTTGCACACTGAAGTTGTAGTACATCAGTCTAGAACACCACCTGAAAATGTGAAGGGGACTGCGGCCTTCGGAGCCTGCAGAAAGAAGTGCGACAAGAGCTTGATGAACTGTGCGCAAAGTGAAGTGCCGACCCCGCAAATAAATGTGCCAATTCTCACAAGCAAAAAGACATTCGAGAGCTTCACGATCTCCAGTGGATTACCTGCGCTCGGCAGGGGCTAATGTGTGAGAAGCAAACGCAACGCTGATCAGCTGATCACTGAACTTTTGTTGAAGCACTGCTCCTAGTCCAACATCGGACGCATCCGTTGTGATGACGACGGCCAGCTTCTCATTGAAAATACTGACAAGTGGCTTCGAGGCCTGAATTGACTTGATTCTAATGAAGCTCGTTTCATCTTCAGCTGACTAGGTAAAAGACTGTCTGTGCTTGAGTAGGATGCGCAGTGATTCAACAACGTCTGCATATTGTGACACAAACTTTGCATAATAACCAACAAGACCAAGAAATGACTGCAACGATTTGGCATTAGTAGGATGTGGTGCATTCACAATGGCCGGAACTTTTGAATCAACAATGGTTAAGCCACGGGAACTGATCTTGTAGCCTAAAAAATTGCAATTCACACACAGAAAAAAATTGCGGGACCCTTAAGCCTCGCCTTTAAGAGTTAAGCGCGATAGCAAAATCCGGCCTTTAGTGCACCCTTCAACTGCTTAGTGCATACTTATTCATATGTTTTGTTACACACACGCATGCATACAAACACGCACACAGTAGATCGGACCAGCACGCACTATTATCACCGAATGGGCTCGATTTCGTTGTGACACCTGTCGAACAAAGCGAACTAAAGGGGCCCTGAAACACTTTTTCATGTAACCATCGAATGACTTCACTAGGAGAGCTTATTGCATCATGAATTCAACGCCGCAAAAATTAAAAAAACCCATCCAGTGCGAGTGGAGTGACAAAGGTTTGTCGCATGCTGCAATTGCATTATCTCTTCTCTCGTTCCGACGAAAGCACTGGAAGCTAAGCAGAGAGGGATGGCGGGAAAAAAAAAACTACCGTGCCTCGTGACCTTGACCATTTTTTTTTTCTTCTTATGCGTGGCTTTTACAGTGTGAATGCGCGCGCACGCACGCACAAGTAGCGGTCTCCCGCAACTATTTCGGTAACTTGATTTGTCGGTCACAGACGCACAGACAATTTTTCGCTCACAACCAATGGGGCTGGCACTTGTTATTAAGCATCATGCCGCAATCGCTAATGCGGGAAAGAACTGCATGTAAGTTTGCATCGTGTTCGCGATTTCGACCCTGTACCAATATGTCGTCTAAGTGGCACAGTGCACTTTTGCAACCTTTAAAAATTACAGACATCATTTTCGAAACACAGCAGAGGCAGGGGTGAGCCCAATGCACACGCAGAGAAAACGAAGCAGCCCATCATGCGAAACGAATGTGGTTAAGTCCCTACTGCAATCGGAAAGTTCAACCTATGATATGCGGACGCAAAGTCTAACTTAGAAAAGCATACCGCCCCGGACAGCTGTTGGAAGCAGCTCTTAGATGTGTGTAAGCGGGAACCCGTCGATGACGGTTGCCTTGTTTTGTTTACGTAAGTCCACGCACAGGCGCAGGTAGCCATCTTTTTTTTTTTTTACAATGACAAGTGGAGACACTCAGTTGGAAACGGGGACAGGCTGGATGTTTCCACTGGCTTTAAGACGGGACAGTTCTGCAGAAACTTGTTAACGAAGCAGAAATGGAAGGCGTCGAAGCTTCGCACGAACCGGACACACATCAGACCGACGCACCGTGCACTTTATACACGAAGCCACGCACACAACCCAGCTCACGAGTGAACAGCTGACGAAATTTGCTGGGCGCGTTGGCCGGAAGTTCTGGTTGCACGTCGACTTGGGCAGAAGTCATGGAAGCACCGAGAATGTTTATGCATAATACCTGCATAGCATCACTACCCAGGAGGGAGCTGCCATTGGCAGTGACGTAGAAAGTGACCGATGCAGTACGACTGCAATTCCTGAATTGTGCTGCGAAATATCCCAAATTATCAATTGTTTCTTTGGAATACGTCTGCAGAACGATGTGCGAAGGAGGAAGCCAAACGTCTAGTAAATGTCTATAAATGTCAGCGGCGCTCATTAACGAAAAGGATGCACCAGCGTCCATGAGAAAAGCCAGGGGAACATCACCCACATCGCCCATGGTAGGCTCAGACGTTGAGTGGCAACCAGCCACATTCAAAACAGCGACCGTGTTTGTTTGGCCGTTAAACGAAGTCAGCGAACCAGTTGCATCTTTACGTGAGGCCGAACTGCATACGGCTTGAAAATGTCCGCGTTTACCGCTCGCGAGAAGTTCGGTTCTGAGCCAGACACAGAGCAAAATACTCTAAGTGGCGAATCGATCCACAACGGAAGCAAAAGGCAGACGGTGACTGTTCAGGAGAATGTGTGAATGAGCTCGAAGCTCGCTGCTGGCCTTGAAAAGGCGAAGTCGAAGGCACGGATGTTCGCTTTCTGTGGCTTCCTCTCCCCCGTAAGGCGAAAGGGTGGTTCTGTTGAGCGCCGCGTTGAAGCTGGGAAGAAGGGGAGCCATCTTTGTTTTCCCGCTGAAACGAAAAAAGAGGGCGGCCAACTGCTATAAC